TCCTCCATAGTCTTTACATATAATTTTTCAATATACTTAACATATTTTAACGTTCATTCTTCATCAATGTTTTTTACATGACTTTATTAAGAAAAAATTGGTTAGAAGTATTATGATAGATGATACACTTATTTTTAATGTGAGTAGAACAACAAGTACCAATCGTACAACTAGTGATATTGTTTTAAATAACATAACTAATAGACCATAGCTTCTACAGAAAGACATAATAGTTTAAACGTTGCCCATCACATTTCCGTAAATGTTGATATGGTATTCATTAAAAATGAACAATACTCTAGTCGTTTATAAATGTGTAATATTTGTTTGAAAGTAATGTCAAAAAAATAATGAGAGACATCCTCGCCAAAATAGTATTATGTTAATGAGTCAATCACTAGTAAATAAAAACAGCTTCTAAAACTTTGCAACTGTCCTAAGTCAGGGTTTTCTTCATTTTGTTAAAAAAAGAAAGGAATTTCTAGTCATAACCTTTATTACTTAACTATAATAAACGTTTCCACTTACTTTTATACTAAAGAAATTTCTGTCAAGGTGAACCACAGTTTAATGACCTTTTTTCAAATTATTCCTATAAGGAAAAACAGTGGAGAATAAACTGTTTTCTAAGTACCTAACTGTATATTCATTAAAAGCTACAGATGGATCAAAACAACTTTCACTGATCCCTTGTACAATTTGAAACATTCTATGAAACATTTTGCATACTAAAGTTATTTACATTTATTACTCAAGTTATTTGTGATATATAGCTCATAGGTGATGTATACATTCATCAAATTAGCCTGTTTATTACTAAAGATATAATTCAAAACAGGGAAATATTTATTATAATTATAAAAACAATTCGGCTGACGAATATAATTTATTAAATCATACATCAAAATGTTTGATACGTTAGATTTGTTGTATATGCACATCAACCCATGCACGTTTCGATAGAAATAGAATCACTTTTTGTGAGTAAATAATCAAGCCAAGAGATAGTTACCATTTATATAATAATTCTTTCTTGGTAAATAAAACCAACTATATTGAAAAATAGCTACTGTTTAGTTTTTGTATAGTTTGATGCACTGCCAAGTACGCGTGTCTGTAATAAAGGTTTAACAATTAGTTTTAATCGATTTAAGATGAAATTCCATAGCCAGTATTTGTATTTATATAGTACATAGAAAATGCCAGTTTTATACATTTTAATCTGTGGATATATAAATATGCGGTGTAATCAAGATTTATTGTATTATTATGTAAATGGGTGTTTATGAATACTTGATTTATTGAAGATAATATCGCATCAAATCATTATCAACTGTAGAAGTATTAAAAATTATAAAGAACTAAATAACTAATTTATCTTCATTGAACATTCATTTTAACTCATAGAAACGGTTTCATATAGAAATTTGTAAATTGACCAATAAGTCTACTATCATCAATAACGACGAATGATTTTCTTCTAAACCTACAACTTGAGTAAAGTTGAAAGATGTATGCAGGCGCATTAAATTTCAATAGATTAACCGTGTTGTGTTTACCATAAAACTTGAATGTTCTTATCTGAACAAATGTATAAATTCCTAAATATTTTACAGACTAAAATGAGGCAACTGTTTATTAGCTTTTTACACTGTAGTTTATATTTGATATAGGACTCCTTAACATATGTATTATACACTATATGTAATATTTTAAGTATACAATTAGTGATCGTTTACATTAAAAAATGGACTATATTTAAGAAATGATACATATTACATCTCAACTATTGGAATTACTACAAATTCCACAAAACCCCTTCTGATACTAATCAACATATGCTTACTAGTGATTGGCTTCAAGATATATATCCTGGAGTTCTAGTGAGAAGCAGTGAACAGTGGAGTTCAACCGGGTCAGTAGTGAGATAGTAACTAACTGGTGACAATGGTAGATGTGTCGCTCAATTTCGTGGATTAATTAAAGTTAGACGTTAACACCGTTGGATGCCGGCTTAGTGGTCTAGTGGTTAAGCGCTCCCGCGCGAGACCGATAAGTCCTGGGTTCGAATCCCGCGAGTGGGCTCCTGGATGCGCATTTCTGAGGAGTCTCATACTAGGGCGAAATGGCCGTTCAGTACTTCCAGAATTTTCATGGTGATCTATCTTCAACTGACTCTTGATCTTAACTACTGAAATCACTACAATCTCCACAAAACCCCTTCTAACACATATTACATACTTTAAATCATAGAGAATTTATTTCATTTTTTTTTCTATCGAATTAAATGTACATAGAGCTTATCCTTTCACATAAACAAACACTTGAATTAAGCTTATTAATAAACTTATCAACATAAAAGTGTTTGATACATATTATTGTCTAAACTTTACAGCTTATAGAGAACAGTTGATTTCATACAAATAAATGAAAGAAAAAAAAGAATTAATTCGGTTAATACTTTAAATAATAAACAAAAGGAAAATCATCGGACAATCGATTAACTAGTTTATAATAGAACTCATACACAATGTATGTATCAAACGGTAATAGATTGAATATGATTGATACAAAAATAAATAACAAGCAAACTAATAAATTATAGAAAGTAATATATTTAATCTTAATAATTCATTAGGGAATATAAAAAGTCATTCTTAAAAATAAACAAAATGACAATTCGACTTGTAATTTACACAATAAGATGATCTATTTATGTTTTATATTGATAGACGATATTTATTTTTTCTTATCAGTTACCATGAGAAACTATTGATGAGAATATTAGATTTGAAAAGGTTTCTAGTGTAATTCAATAAACAGTAACCTAAAGTTTATTATCAATTTAACTAGATATGGATCACAAGACTTTCTTATTAAATCCTTAAATTGTACTTTAAACTATAAGAGAAAATATTTATTTTAGTAGAATTATTACCAAGATAGATGGAAGATAGACTATTGTTTAAAAAAATTCAGTATGGTTTTGATAATATACTAACCAATGACAATTTGAGGGTATGAATGTATTATCGAATCTCTTTATGATATTTTATTTGACCCAGTAAATTATTTTTGCTGGTTATGATTGAATGAAAAGATTAGATATAATTGGAAGTAATTTTTTAATAGATGAATTCATGAGTTAATTGAAGATAGATCACTATGAAAAACTTGAAAGTACTGAACGGCTGTTTCGTCCTAGTATAGGACCCCTCAGAAGTGCGTATCTACGACACCGCCCCTGAAAGATTCGAACTCTGGACCTATCAGTCTTGCACGCGAGTGCTTAACTTTTAGATTACTGAGCCGGCATCCAATGGTGTTAATGTCTAACTCCAACTAGTCCACAAGACACTTGGAAGTGTTTGATTTAAGCAGTCATAAGTTTAGGATTTTTTCGTTTAGAGTACTCAAATAATGATAAGTTATTCATCGCGTTCTTAGCATTGCTTATCTAGTTCCCATGTATAAAGAAAGAATAATAGTGATTCATTTATTTAACTTCATAAGGATCCTAAGTACTATTTTCTTAACTTTCTAAAAACATCACATCCTATTGTTTGTTAATGGGTAATATAAGAAATTAAGTTGGAAAACCTCTAAAAGTGTATAGTTTTTCTAGGTTATTTTACGTAAAATAGAATAAATTGTTTTGTTGAAATCGCATTATAGAAATAGGGTGAATGTTTAATTGTCATATTAAAAACGAATACCACAAACAAAACATGGACATGAAGCTAATGAAATTATAGCATGGTAAGATAATTATTTCCAGCTTCTTTAGTTAGAACCACAACAATGATAAACTGGGTATGAAATATGTCCAATCTTCAAGAAAAAAATATTTATGCAAAAAAATCGAACAGCTAAAAACACCAGTAAGTAATAATATAATAATATAGTTTTAGGCTTTCTGTCAATTCAATGATGTAACAATGGGTAATTAATGTTTTATTGGAGAAGACAGTCATAGCACATTAATACGATAAGATGAATTTACCGCCGAAATGAGGTTAATCAGTAAAAGTTACTGAAAATCCTGAATAGTTCAAGCAAAGGTGCTTTTTTTGCTTGATTACACTCAACTGTATTATTATCTAAAGTATAAAAAACTTCTGAAATACATGAACTTGCTAACAGTTTTGTACTTCTTTAGATGATCTGAAATTTGTTTTTGAGGACACATCGATGCACTACAATATTCACATTTAGCGTTGTGTGAACATTATATACGGTTTGAAGATAAGTAGTATCTGGAGGTTATTACAGTTGTAGAGTTCAACGATAAGCTGAATTCACAACAATCTAGATAAGTATTTAAAAACAAATATCAAAATTGTTTATCGATTATACAGGTACTAAATTTCACGTGTTTCCATTATTCTACTGGTTACTTCATTGATTCTACCATTGACTATAACTTGGAAAGCATATTTCTTGAATCTTATTACATGAGTAGAAGATCTATAAAGTCATGTAGTATATATATAATAAATTACTTTGTTTAAAAATTGACACTTGCCAAATATTCCCAAGTGTTTTGATAACGTTTATAACTTTTAAAACCTCTCTAATGAAATTAGAGGTTATAACGATTGAAAGTGCTACAAAATTTATTGATGAATTGGTTGAAATTTAAATTCAGAACCACTTGAAGTAAACCCAGTAGCTGAAAATGGAATGTACTATCTGTAAAGATTTAGAGTTCTGTGTTTGATTTTATAAGTTAATGTATGTTTAGAGTTATATCTCCAAAAATGTTTGCAATCCTTTTTAACCGATAGTATGCTTGGTGATTAAAAAACCTTACAGGAAATCAATGACTCCAGCTAGTTGTAGAAACCTAAGGAAATGGAATTTTTCTTATTATATAAAATAACAAAGTAAGTCGCTTTTCATGAAATAAATAAGTTTTTTTCTGATAGAAAAATACTTTTACTTCATCATAACAAAAAAATTTAAATCAGAACCATAAAATAAATAAAACGTTAACTCACTGAGAACAGTTTTTCACTATCATTTGACATTGGTGTTTCCATCTTGACGACTTCCGATGCACTACTATCCATTCCCATACAAATCAGTCAAAATATAAAACCGGTCACAAAATATCAACCGATTGTTTGATTAAAGATTACTAAAGTTTATAAACTGGACGATCAATATGCCTATTTCTCTCATACACTCACAATCGAAAATTATCTATACGTAAATTTACATAACTAATTCAAGAGTATGGGAACCTATTTGCCTGTGTTCAGTGTTGTGTCTTTCATACTATCACCTCATGAAATAAATCGTAAATAAAACTCTTGGTAAGAACAGCCAATCGAATCATTATAGTGGGGGTGAGATGAGTATACAAAATACTGATTAGTTGTTAGTTAGGCTAAAAGAATTTTTGACTCAACTAATGTATTTTTCATAAAGCACATTTAAGTGGTGTTTAAACCTATATATGTCTGTTATGTATATTTGGCTTTGGTTAACACAACAGAGTAATATACAGAGTAATGTACATAGGAAATTATTAATATGTTATGCTATATACCCATAAAATGTTTTAATTTTATGTACTTCGAAAATGTAAAGCAATCGAAAGTTTTGGGTGTAACACGTTTTCTTCGACTAGATCCCAAATATTATACTGGTTTGTATAATTTGTACAAACACAACATTAAATTGAGCTTTAACATGTAAATAAACCAACAACACTGTATACGATTGGTCAGGATTAATAGGTTTGTTTCAATGATATACGTGGATCATCTGTTTGATACTTCGGTACTTTAATATCTACCAGATAAGATGCATTTATAATGATTAACAGGTAAGGGCTGAAAACTTTCTAAAAGTTAAAAAAGAATTTTCTAATTTAGCAGTAACATTAGTTTAGGATTTTGAGTTACTTTTTCTGTATGGGTATAAATTACGTATAACAGGTGGATTAATTTTTTTAAACAAACTTCAACTAGCTTTAAAAAACTTGTATTATGGCTGATGCATGAAAATCACATCATATAGTTTAAATTAAAAATAAATAAGAGTCTTAAGGCTAAGACTTTGGTTTTGCACGGTAATGTCATTTACCTGGATAACTCATATTCAATTCCTGTCAACACATGTTTTTCTAGGATAAAATTACCGCTTTCATACTGATCAGTTAGAGTCACTTTATTTTATTAATTACAGTACAGGTTATTTAGAACTGCAAGTTTTAATTTATCGTCACTGATACAGAGAAAAATATTTATACACAGAACTGTTGATAATGTCTTCTTTAGTTTTGTGGCTTAATAAATTGATCTCATTCGTCATGTAAAAATCAATGACCCTCACTTTCGACATAGTATATTTTCGTTACTGGATATGTATATAAAAGTAAAGGTCAGTGAATTTATCGGGAACTAACTGTAAATATTTGTTTTGTAAAATCTACACAATAATCAGAACTATTCAAAGTGCTTTTAATATATATTATGTGAACAGTATTTGGGTCTAAGACAAGAGTCTCGTCCTATTTGTTAGCTTGATATACCTGAATTCCAATGTTGATGTTCACTCAAACCCAGTATTTTTCACTTCTAATAAAAACATATTATTTACTGAGCTACTGAATTCATGTAGCAATAAACTTATTCAGTAGATATGAAAGTATTAGTATGAGTTTGATCAATTGCAGTCCTGTAAGTTAACAAAGTGAGATTAAAAACCTTTACTTATTTTTAAACGATTAAAGATTATTATTAGTACAGAATGTAAACTTCAAGTTTTACTCTGTTCAATATTTATCACCTACGTTTTCTAATTAATAACTGCCTATTTATTTAAATGATTTTTTAACGATATGTTATTTGATAAAACATTATGACCGGGATATTTTACGTAATTTATTTTATCAAGGTGTAAGTTATTGATTATTATTATTGTCAATTATTTACTTATAATTAAGTTTTATTTGGTATTTTACTAAATTTGTCTTAGTAATTAAGTTGTAGTATCTACTAAATAACATACTGATAATTCACAATTCAACTTCAACGTATTATGTCATCATTATTCAGAACAACAAGTTTTAAAAATAATAATTAATTTCTTTTCTTGTTGTTCCGTTGGTACTATTTTGTTAGGACGTTAGATCCTCAGAACTCACTTGGAAAGGGACCTAGTTTTGTAATTTTATTTAGAGAATTTGAATTCCTTTGTTCGCACGCCAAAAGCGCTCTTTTCACCTTCATATCGTATTTCCACTTGGGGGAATCTTAAATGCTACTGGTCTGTTGTGTCTTTTAGTATACTATTTTGTAACTCTCCACAAGGACGGTTTTGTGCTGTATATACATATTTTGATTTGTGTTTGTTGTTATCGCTCGTTTTCTGGCTGTTTGCGGAATATACTTCCTCATTCCAAGTTTGAACTTCTTCCTATAGTTAGAGGGCCTGGGGAGTATCGAATAGCTAGCTTGTTGGTCTTCGGTCACCGAGTCTTTGTTTCCGTTAGCAGTCTAAGTGAACTCGTAACCACTTCAAACCTAGCATATTTAAACTTGGATTAATTTTGATTTGGTTAGTTATTTATTCTCTGAAGAAGTGGCTTTCTCGAAGTCTCGGAACGTCAGAAAATCTAATTTTTTACTTAGTTGGATATTACAAATCTATTAATTAATTAATAACAATCGACCCAATGCTCAATTTATTTGAAATTATCAAATCAAACCTTGATAATGATACCTACATATTGGATTAATTTTGAGTTGGTTATTTATTCTCGGAAGAAGTGGTTTACACTAAGTCGCGAAACGTCTGAAAGTCTTTTTTTTCACTTATTGGGATACTATAAATATGTTATTTATAATAATCAGTTTGTTTAATACTACATACCTAATTATAAAGAAGATTATTCCGAACAAAACATGAAACATATAACTTGTGAATGACTCAAAGTCTATGTATAAAAGGGTATAAATATTTACTTTAATGATCATATGGACCTTTAATTTACTTGTTTTTCTCTACGGACAACAAAATTTGAACATGTAAAGTTGGTTATTGTCATTCAGATTTCGTTCCAGGATGATGATTTAGAGTTGTTGTTGTCTGAGAAGAATTATTTTTAAAAACCCTCAGACAGCATGTAGTTGTGTAAATATATTTATTGATCATTTACTTTTCATATAGGAAAAATCGATAAGTGCTTCGTGGTTCAGAAATCGGAATATGATATTTTTTGCTATAGTGTACTAATATATTGACATCATACAAGATAAAATGTTTTATTTTACTTCCGTTTACCATCAAGTAATGTACTACTTAATCGATAGTTTCTGATCAAAAATAAATAAGTAAACAAACCAATAAATATATAAATTTTCATCTGGTCTATAATATTAAGACTACAAACCTTTTAATGCCCCCAAATGCCCTGGTACGGCCGAGAGTGGGGAGAGTCTGCTCTTCCTCTCGAAATGCTCCCACATGGCCACGGAAGTCCTACTCCCTGCCTTCTCATGACAGGGGTGTTGTTTACGAAGTTGACAGGACGAAACGCGAAAGTCCGGCGCTTTAACCGGGTTGGTGAACATGGAGAGTCCACCTAGGGGGTTGGAAAACCCTGATTCCAAACCAATGGTGCACATGGGCTCCAGTATCCTGCGGGAACAAGTGGCGTATGAACCAATTGTTGGTCACCGGCTTCCATGGGACTGCATCTCCTTACGATGCTCCACTGCCTTGTGGATCAGACCTTCAGGTCGGAGACTCCGGGTGTGGCCCCCTAAGAGAACCACCTGCTTCGGTTTGGGCACTCGGGTAGTATCACAGCCCTCACACATATCAAATGAGATTTATGTGGCGGATATGTATTTGGGACCTCCTCTTACCAATATCTATATGTTAAAATAAATAAATAGATAAAAGTCATTTTACTATTTTCTAGGATATGTTCATTAGTAAAAGAAAGAGATTAGGCAATGTTGTATTTAAATTTAGCCATTAAATTAATTATTTTACTCAAAGCATATTGGTGCAAGTACAACGGATTCTTATACATGTTTTTATTGTTTCTAACACTTTTATTATGTATTACACTTTAAGAATCGTATAGGTTTACGTGAGTAAGTTAACATTGTGACTATCAGTGTTTTTAATAGGACCATAATTTAGATTGTCTAGTAGTAAGAGCATTTAGTTATACAATAATAGATAATGGGTTCAAGTTCACTCTTTTGGTTTGGCAAGCCTTGCGGTTATGATACTCGCCCTCACATACATAAATCTGTATTTAGTGACTGGGTTATGTCAAGGTTAAACTGTAGAAAGCTTTATTTTAAAAATTAGTTCTTCATATCACATTTTTTCCGATGAGGACTAATGAAGCTGGAAACTAGGATTTTTTTATTTTCTAACATTTATCAGTTATATTTGTACTCTTAGAGAAACTCATAGTATATGATATTTTAAGGCTAATTTCGAAAGTCAGTTTGTAGTGCATAATGTTCAAGTTTAAGATAACTCTTAGAATCCATGCATAATTACATATATTGTTCATGTCAAGCAATAAGTGTTAAACTTTTCCAAGATTTACCTTCCGAAGGCCAATTAAAATTTGCTAATATTGTAACATATTGAAATCGAATGAAACCTCTTTAGCTAGATTTTTATCGAGGACGACTATAAAATAAAGAAAAAAATTCCGGTATCATTTACGTATTTCATGATTCTAATCATCATACATTAATATTTCATGAAATAAATCTGGTAAAAGGAGAGAGAAAATCTACCACAATCTTTGTCAAGCAACAATAAGTTTTTAACAGTCAAAATCTTCTTTTTAGGTTACTCTTTTGCGTAAGTTATTGAATACAATTTTAATATAATTGAAGATATTGGTATACTAAAAATGACAAATTGCACTAAACAACTTTTGATACATCTCAATTTACTTGTGACATAATAAGCAGTTGATTGAAGTTAATGAAATGATATGACAGATTGATATAAATCCTTCTGTGAACTGATAATAGGTGGAACACATGTGACTTGTTTACACTATTAGTTATATCGTATGTACTGATAAAAAATTAACCTTGGCATATCATTCACGTACATTCTATACATAAATGAGCTTCTAAGTATGGATATATATTTATCCATTTTCGAATCTTATTTATATGTTTTTGAATTATATACTAGTTCATTTAAAGACTTGCACTGGGAGTTGATGTAAATTCGGTCGTCAAACATTATCTAATCATTCTCATCAGTTTGT